GTCCGCGTCCCCGGCCTGCGCCTGGGATCGCGAAGTCGGGATTTGCGGCGTTGGCTTCGAGGATCACGTCTTCTTGACGCATGGGTCTGCGTGGAGGGCCAGGTGCGAAGGGCGCGAATTGGCCGGCTGGGGCACCCAGTTCCGGCCGCCAGTTGGGGTTGACGGGGCGTTGTGAGACGGATGTGAAATGTGATGCTTCGCTTGCGGCGGGCGAGCGCGCGCCTTCTGGTAGGTCGTCGTAAGAACTGTTGCGCGGGAGGTTTGTGTCGCTTCCGTTGCCTGTGGAGAGGAAGTTGGGGTTCGGGGGAGCGAAGCCGCCTGGCATGAGGGAGCTCGGTAACGGCGGAGGTGCCTGGGCTTGTGAAGGCTCTGCGAACCTGGGGTCTACGTCTTCGTAGTAATCTGAACTGCGCTCTACCCTGTTAGGGCCACCAATGTGAGATATGTGAGCAGGCATTTCGACAGGTGAGTCTTGGATCGGCGATAGCCCGCGGCTACTGTTGTTCAATGTGTTGAGACTTTGGTCTGACGGGACCTGTTGCTGGTTCCATCCCGCTCGCACAGGCATGTATTGCTGCTGCTGTTGCGGCATAGGCGGTTGTTGTTGGTGTTGTAGAGGCTGCGGTCGTAACGCTGACTCACTGTTCAGGGTCAGCAAGAAACATGAAGGGAAATTTGACAAAACTTACTCTGTGGAGTACTCGCTCGTCGGGCTCATGACGCCATCCGATGGCCGTCTCTGGGGCGCACCAGCAGGGAATCCACCTTGCTGGAGAGCAAGCATGCCTGCAACATCACCGTCGCTTTCCCTCAACCCAAAGTTTGTTGGAGGTGTGCCTGTGCGGTTGTCCATTTCGATGGCTTGTCCAATTGGCAGCGGTGGCCCCTGACCAGGCGGTGGTCCTCTGCCATAGGGTGACTGTTCACGGGGCGGTGGCCCTTGGTTGTAGAAGTTGCCGTTGTTGTATCCCGGAGGAGGCGCTCCTCGACCCATTGGCGGCTGGCCTTGCATTGGAGGTCCATTCGGAGGTCGTCCGCTTCGTCCACCACCGTTCCATCCCGGCGGCGGAGGTCCGCGCATACCTCCTCTTGGTCCGTAGCCTCCTCCTCTCGGGCCGCCATACTGTCCACCTCTTGGTGGACCTCCTCGACCCCTCATCGGACCTCCTCTTCCACGTGGCGCGCCATTCATCATGGCGTATTGGTCGTTTGGCATGGGTGGCACGGGGTTGCCATACTGATCCATGGGCTGTCGACGACCTGAGGGACCGCGGTTCGGTGGGTTCATGTTGTCCGAGCCGTTTCCTCCGCTACTAACGGTCTTGAGAGAGGGATTGCGCTGGTTCAAGGGCGTCATGTCGTCGGTCGGCGATGGTTTAGAGTGGTCGAAGTAGGCTGCATTACCGTCCCTGCCTCCAGAGGTCATAGTCTCTCCGGACAGCGGAGGCGGTGACTCGGCCTTGGGGAACTCTGAAGCCACAGTCGCATTTGCGCGGTTCGCATAGTAGGTCTGACCGTTCATCTCATCGTTCTCGGCAATGCGCCTCTTACGCGCCTTGCGACTGACCAGTGTGCGCCTCATAGCGCACGTAACGATACCGCTTGCGACGATAATGACGGTAGCACCTAGCACGATCCATCCTCCCCAGCCCACATGCGGCACGAACAGCAGGATGTCAACGAGGAAAGCGAGCAGCGTGACCAGCAGAGTCGGGAACGTGAATATGAGCAGGGCGAGGAGGTAGCGCGGCGAGTGGGCGGGCGAGTGGAAGTGGGCAGCGACGGAGAGACCGAAGCAAATCAGCGTCATGAGAGCTGCGACGGGGTGCACGATGAGAATGGAGGAAAGCGCATGGCGCTGGGCGGAGGGGAGCGAGAAGTCGGAGCTGTCTTCGCCTGCGAATAGTTTCTCTGTTTGAATAGTTAGCACCACGACCGTCGTATGTGATACAGGGCGCCATACCAGTGTTGTACCCGATCATGGGCCCTTTGCAGCCTTGGTCGCCATTCTCGCAGTAGCCGAGGACGCCAAAGTGGACGCCGCGGTAGGTAGCGAGGGGAATGCTCTTGATCAGAGGCGTCGAGAGGGTCGAGAGCAGCAGCAGCACAAAGGCGACGAAGAATAGTATCGATAAGGGGGTCGCAGGGCGCAACATGTTGGCGAAGAATAACGGAGGCTACCGCGTGGAATTCCGGCTCGCCAGAGACCGGCTCTCTCAAGGCGACGACGTGGTGTTGGGGAGGGCGATCGGACGTGGGCGCGACGAAGGTGAAGGTGCAGACGGTCCGCAGTCTCGTAACAGTGGGCGCAGTCGTAAACGTGCCTAAGCGCACTCTTGCCCTGACGTGAAACGAGTGACGATCGAAGTTACACCAGTTATGCCTGTTGGGTCATTGATGCCTCGAAGGAGCTTGAGCGTGCGCGACGACGGCTGGACACGCGATGAGGCGCTCGAGGGGGCAGGCGCTGGCTGTTGGGGGTTGCGGGGAAGCGTGGTCGGCTTGGGACACGCCTGGAGGAGGTGGGCGGAGGGCTGGAAGGAGCGACGGTGCAGCAACAGGAAAGAGCGGACGCGCAGCCAATCACGGGCGTGAATGGCGCGAGGTATAGCGAACGTTGGAACTATGCCGGCTAGTCGCTGCAGTAACTTGGTATTGACGCGGGACCTATCGAGCCGTTGACGTTGACCCAGACGTCTAAGCTGTCGCGCTGTGAATGAATGTAGCGTGTTGGACGACCCCCGGCGGCAGTATTTTCGCGGGTAGCCCCGTTGTCGCGCCCCTTGCCCTCGCAGCAGGCCCGTCTTACCTGCGACTTTGCTTTGTGTTCGGAGCATCAGTCGGAGTCGCACGCGTCCACGCTGCTCTCCCGCCCCAGTTTGGCAGGGATATCTATCGTCTCATTTCGCGTAGACGCACGGCCCATCATCCAGGCACTGAGAACACCGTTGCTCTGCTGCGTGCTTCAGACGAAGCCGCTGAAACACAGACCCTTTCTTCTTCCTGGTCCTGAGGCAGCGCAGCGACTGTCAACACCAGCCATCGTGGTCGCCATCTGCTTCGACAACGGTGCGTACCTCGCCTGGTAAATACACTGCAATGCGTTATCGCCTCGAAACAGGGCACGAAATAGCGCCCTCCTATCAACTGCAGCCAGATCCCGGAAAAGGATCAGGCCAGCGCCACCAACCTATATCACCTCACCTATCGCATTCCACGCGAGATGCTCTTTGTTTGAGCCTTCCCGCCTATATCTCCCACACTACAGATCCACTCGACCCGTTGCACAGCCCGCACGGCTCCACGCTGTCGCACGTCCATTGAACATTCAAAGCATTTCATGTTTGGGCAAGACTGAAGTGTTTATTTGCTTGATTCTCAGACCTCACATGGTATTCGTATGATATGCAGAGACTCCAGATCCGATCAACCTCCCCACAAGTGATCATGAACGCCTGAATTTTGGGATCGAGTCCTGCACCTATCTTCATGAACTCATGGGTACTTCATATCCTAACCTACAACTACGCCAGCGTCACGCTTAGTGAGCAATGGCGTACGCCCTGCGGCGGTCACGCTCCTCAGCAATGGAGAGCTTGACACCCTTACCCTTGGGCAGAGAGATCCATGGCTTCTCCTTTCCGATGATGCTGAACGCACGTTAGTAGTTGTTCTCGTTCTATGCGGGTATCCAACTTACATGACGTTGGACTCACGAGTGGTGAACTCGTTGTCAACAGCGTCCTTCAAGTGGACAATGTTGAAGCCTCCGTCGTGGCGCTCACGGTGAGTGATGACACCGACACGACCCATGTTACGACCACCGGTAACCATGACAATGACACCAGTGTCGAACTTGATGAAGTCGGAGATCTTGCCAGTGGCGAGGTCGACCTTGACGGTGTCGTTGACCTTGATGGCTGGGTCGGGGTAGCGGATTCTACACAAAATTTTAGCAGCAATTCGGACATAGCCAGACCCTGGTCGTATGCCTGGTGAAAGAGGTTTCCCTCAGACACCTAGCCCAAACTGTGGTCCAACGGCTGATAGAGCGGGAACTTACGTTCGCGCATCGTGCGTAACCAAGTAGGGAATTCCGCCCTTGCCAAGCTGGACGCGCTTGACCTTGCCGAGCTTGTATTGTGCCTCCTCATCTGTTATCCTGTGGACGGTGAAGCGGCCCTTGGTGTCGTAGATCAGGCGGAAGTTCTCGCCGGTCTTCTCGATGGAGATGACGTCCATCAGTCCCGAGGGGAAGGTGGAGTCGGTGCGGACCTTGCCGTCAACCTTGACGAGGCGCTGCATGAGAATGGCATTGACCTCGCGGGCGTTGAGCGCATACTTCAAGCGGTTGCGGAGGAAGATGATGAGGGGGAGGGAGTCGCGGAGCTTGTGAGGACCGGGGGAGGCCTTGGGAGCATAGGCACCTGGAACATGTCAGTTCTGAAGTCGTGATAGCCATTGCATCGCAAATTGCGGGAGTCGAGCGTACCGGACAGCTTGTCCAGGAGCCAGTGCGAGGGCGCGCTGAGGCGCTTCTGGTGCTTGACGGGTCCACGGGCCATTGTGACGGTTCTGTGAGGTTAGTCGTTGAGATTGGAGGTCCTGTCGAAAGCGAAGTTCGAGAGACTGGAGTCCTCATTTTTCGTCTGCCACTAGCGTGTGCCGTAGCCGAGGACTAGCGCGCCAAGACCAGCGCTGAAGTGCTCCGATGCCCCATCTCAAGCGAGGGGAACTCAACATCTTAGAGCCCAGGCGCCTACTTTCACGTCAAATTTTCTGTTCAGTTTGTTGTATCATGGGATGAAAGATGCACATTTGAAATCCTTGCGTCAATGTAGGATTCAGGGTGTGGCCATGCGCAACTCATCGCGGATCAGAACAACACCATGGAGCTCACATCACGATCAACGAGCACTTAGTCACCAGACCGTCTCTAGACTCCAAATGTGTGCAATTGATTATTTTCTTGCATCTGAGTTGTATCCCGGTTCTCAACCCTAAGCATACCCCTTCAGCACCGCCGCCTCTGCGTTCAATATCGACGACCCCGCCGCTCCAATGACAGCTGCAACTAGTTAGCATTCGCCCAACCCCTCGCAATCGCAAGTCAAACTTACTGTTGTGGCTCAATGCAACGAACTTGAGGTCGAAGATGCCTGCCTCATCCTCTCTTATCCTACCCACGCTAACCGCGTATCCCCTATCCGTCTCCCTGTCCAGCCTTGGTTGTGGTCTATCGGCCTCCTCCATAACCACAATCGCCTTCGCGGGCGCAGACGGGCAACCCAGCTTCTGTGCATCAGACACGTATTCGCGCATTGCCTGCTTGACCTCTTCTGCGCTCGGTGGTGGACGGCGTTGGAAGCGTAGCGATACACACGCAGTGTGGCCGTCTAGTACCGGCACCCGGTTGCATGCTGCGGACACCTTCATGGGCTGATCTACGAATCCTGTGATGTCGTCGTTGACGCTCCCCAAGATCTTTGATGCTTCTGTCTCGAGCTTGTCTTCCTCGCCTGATATGAAAGGCACGACGTTGTCGATGATGTCCATGCTGCTTACACCGGGGTAGCCAGCGCCGGAAACGGCCTGCATTGTGACGACCGAGACCTGGTCTATGGGACCAAACTTGGCTTGGAGCGCTGCGAAAGGTATGACGAGACCGATGACTGCGCAGTTGGAGTTGCAGACGAGGAAGCCCTTCTCTAGCTTGTGGTGTTGCCGTTGGTGCTTGATGACGTCGAGATGGGGGAGGTTTACGGTGGGTACGACGAGCGGCACGAGAGGGTCGCGGCGGTAGTTCTTTGCGTTGGAGAAGACGGCGAGTTCGGACTTGAGGAAGGCCATCTCTGTTATGTCTCAGTATTTGCGATCGCAACCTGAAGTGAATTGCCTACCAACGTCTCCAGCAACATCGCTGTCAAGACCAGAGAAGACCATGTCACAGTCCTTGAACTCTTCAGGTGTGCACTTCTTCACCACCAGCTCTCCAATGCGCTCCGAGAAAGGCAGCGCCTGCTTCCACTTGACCGCATCTTTGTATTTCTTGCCGGCTGATCGCTCAGAGGCTCCAACGGCGTGGAGCTCGAAGTGTGGGTGTAGCGCAAGAAGAAGGATGAAGCGCTGGCCGACGGAGCCAGTCGCGCCGAGCACACCTGTAATAGAGTCAGTCGGCTATTTCCAAGCAGAGATGGACTACACACCGCACTTCTTCTTGGGGAAGTTTTTGCTCTGAGATGTAAACTTTTCAGCGTCCATTGTGGTGGTTGTTGGTATTGCAAGATTGAGTCAATCGAGTTCACAAAGTTCTGGCTAGGTATGACGCGGGGGTGGGGTGGAAAACGCGACACCAGCCGATCACGGAGGTCTTGCACGCGCTCATTTGCCGACTGTCTTGCCATGAACAATGCTTTTTCATTACCAGACCAAAACAACACTAGACGATGAGGCGGTACGAAATCTATATATGCCCCTCAAAGATGCACCGATAATCAACCGTCTTTCAATGCGTGTACGTCGAGGAACTTCAGACGATGCGCCATCTCGACATGCAATTCTACGCCTGAGCGTCCATGATCTTCCCCGGGTTCATGAGCCAGTACGGATCCAATGCGCCCTTGATGCTTCTCATCACATTGATAGTGTCGAGACCGAGTTCTTTCTGCAACGATTCTTTCTTGCCCAGCCCAATGCCGTGCTCGCCGGTACATGTGCCATCCATCTCTAGCGCGCGGTCGACCATGTCATGAACGCACTTCTCGACAGCCGCTCGCTCTTTGGGATCTTTGCTGTTGTACATAATGCTTTCGTGGAAGTTGCCGTCTCCGATATGACCTAGGATGCTGGCGAAGAGACCGAGGTCATCCATCTCCTTCTTGGAGATTTCTATCGACAATTAGTTAGCAACCTCCGGAAACCTTGAATTCCCTTACATACCTATAATGTCTGGTAGCCTGGAGATCGGCACGGCGACATCTGTTGACCAAACTTCGTCGCCTTCGCGACGGAGCGCCAACATGCTCCATAAGGACTCCTTGCGCGCAGACCAAAGCGTCTTCTGCTCCTCGGCGCTGACGGCGAATTCGAAGTCCCCGCTCTTGTGTTTCCTGGAAATGGACTTGACCAGCTCAATGTTCTCCTGTACCTATATGCAGTCAGTTCCGCTCTAGGTAATTGCAGGACGCGTAGGGCTGACGTACCCCTGCTTTGGTTCCCGAAAATCTGTTTGAGGCTCTTAGTTCGTGCTTTCACATGTCAAGGGATGTTCTGGAAACTTACTTGAAGAACATGGTCGGCAATTCTTTCCACTTTTTGGTCGTTGATCCGGCTTTGTTGATTACACCCATCTGCACGTCATCCATTATCTCCATCGCAGCCACCGGCACTCCGGCGCGCAACACCTTGGAAGCTGCGGCAGCGGCATCCCGTATCGTGGGAAAGGTGACGACTGCGACGCTGGTCTCTTGTGGTACTACTGCGAGTTTCAAAGTGATCTCAGTCACGATACCCAGGGTGCCTTCGGAGCCAACGAAGAGGTTGGTAAGATTGTAACCGGCCGATGACTTCCTGGAAATAGTCAGTCTATTGCACATTCCGACACGGAAACAATTTGCATACCTGGGCCTTCTTCTGGTCTTGATGATCGTGCCATCGGCAAGGACTACAGTCAGATTGATGACCCAATCCTTCATCGTGCCGTATCGCACTGCGTTGGTGCCACTAGGAGGGTCAGCTGTTGGACCACGTCACTGACCATCATAGACCTTACCTGCAGCTCGTACCCACCATACCTCCAATTCGGGCCTGCCACGCCCGTTAGAATGAACTCGGAGTTCCGCATCGGGGTTTCCGAGGGTTGATTGCAAAGTTGTGTAACACATGACAACGTACCGATGGGCCAGGGTCGACTGGGAAAAATAACCCCGAGTCTTTGATCTGATCATTGAGACTCATCCATGGGACAGAAGGCTGAACCACTACGTCCATACTACGCATCACTGTCAGCGTCGCCAGTCTTGCATGCTAAACGTATAATTAACTCACTCATCTTCGTGCAAGGCCAGGATCTGATCCATGAACGAGAAGTCAATGCTCATGCCACCGAATGGAGCCGAGAAGTTGGCCTCCAAACTTGATCCCCCAGAATATGGGACTGCGCGCTGTCAATACTCATCTCTCCATGCGTCTTGTTGAACGTACTCATCGGTATCTTGTACTTGTAGCAGACCTTGGCGATCGTAGCACATTCTTCAGTGGACTTCGGATACGCCACCGCAACGGGAAGTTGGTCGATGTTGATAGACGACCATTCCGAATATCCGTGTCGATGCAAATCCTCGTCGTCGGTACTAATGGTGTCTTCCCCAAGAACATCCCTGAGCTCTAAAATGGCCTGTACTAAACTAAGTGACTGGTCGACGCGAAAGGATTTTATAATCGCAAACTTACCCTCTCCATCTCGTATTTGTTCGCATATTGGGGCCCTGATGACTTCTTCCATGGCATCTGAATTCTGTGCGGTTCGTCATTGGCGCCGTAGAAGTATGTGGTCGTTCCGGTAACTGCAGAAAATAGCAAGACGCGTCCCGAGTTCCAAAATGGTCTTTGAAGTTGCTCGGCTTTGAAGGTCTGCTCGCGTCCAGTGCGTGCTCGAGCGCCACCTCGCTTGAAGATGGGTGAGGTTATTTGCCTCAGTCGCGCCGCTGGCTGGCGGAACATGACGAAATCGACAACGAAGAAGGGGAAATGAAGTTGCAATCAGTTGTTGGGATGCTGGGAAGAGCTAAAAGTGGAATCCACTTCGCTGACTATGGGTCAGGGCGCATTTGGCGAACTAGTATGACAGAAGAGTGGAGGAGAAGATGGTTGCAAGGCTGGCCTACGCATTTTGTGGATCTAGAAGCCGAACGACAAGCACAGTAAGAGCGGGGAGAGGTTATTTCAGTCTAAACGCAGTTGGCGCGATAGTTCTTTCGGGTATCGCTTTGAGCGTCGTTGGCCAGCGCACAGGTAAAGTCGCAATACACGTCCTAAAAGTCGTGGGATGGACCAGTGATAGCGTGGGAGGCTGACGAGATTCCCGATTTTCTGTATCAAATTTTTCGGCTCACGCATCAAATGAAGTCGTGCATGATCACCTGCAAGGGGCTTGGACACACGCAAGGTAATTGCGGGGAAGACCAGGGCAACGACAAGCAAATGTGTTGGTTCGAGACGCATCGTGGCGACAGGTGACGCTGAATGACATTCCGAGCGAGATGCCGTCGCGTGACGAGGCGTTCGCTAGGGCCCCGAGCGGCTGCAGACAAGGACCGAAGATGTGGATCTGGAACTCTGCGGACGACCATGATACGCTGCTGCCATGTATGTTTTCTTTTCGAGAGCGAGACAAGTGGCAGAAGAGGCGCCTGTCAGGGACAATCTTCTACCTCGATGTCTGATGCCCATGGCTGAGGCTCAAAAACAGAAGCTTGGGAGGCTTGGGGAGAAGCTGAGCGGCAGACTTGCCCTTGGCGATTGGACGACGGTGATACCATTACCTCACGAAACCTGCTCCTCTCGTCTGTGCAGCTCAGATGCTGGCTGACAATCGAGCGAGTGGGGGAACAAGCTGCACATGAGCGTTTGCCGTACCCCACGCGCGATCTTCAGGCGTCTGCTTGTCGGTGAAGCCAGAGAGCCGGAGGAGGCCGGTGGATGCCGCGGTAACGGCTACGGTGCCAGGCAGACGACTACTCCCATATAGTACTGAAGCGGGATACCGTATACGGCTCCCATGAGCAATGTGATAGAACGCCATTAAGCTCGAGACTGCAAAGGAACTGCCAAAAGCAAAGACGACGCGTAGAGTCTATTACCACCAATAAGAGGTAACGTGTGAGCGGAGAATAGAAACAGCCCCGCAATGCCTGCAGGCTAGCAATGTTGCGCCCAGCAGCTGTACGATCTATAGATGGCTGACGTCAACAGGCAAACATGTGGAGTGCGAGCAGGAGCAGGGAGTGGAGTGTGAGATGTTGGCGCAGGATGCATGGTCGCGTGCATTGATGCCAATGGGGAAGTCGGCGATCCCGGCGCGTCTTTTCGGCCGTCGCCAGAGGAACGCGACAGCAAACAAGTTCGCGTCACAAGTCCACGCATAACGAACATTCGGCCCAACTCCGAACATAACTCGATCCAGCAGACATGGCGGATATCAGCGCAGAGTTGACGTCGGAACTGACAAGGATCATCGAGTGTCCATACCCCCCTTCGCTATCCGTACGTATTTGCCCCTCATCTTCCCCAACTCCAATGCATCCTCATGTCGTGCCACTAGCCAACTCCCGTATTTGAGCACATGACTCGCTGCATGAGCATCCCATCGTTGATGAGATGAGCTGACGCGAGATCCCACAGAACCTATCCGATCTTTTGGCGCGCGTCGACGTACCGACTATCCGATCATGCGTCCAAGACCGGTCACCTTGCGCGGTGAGGAAACTAGGCAGGATTGTCCACGATGCACTGTCCCTGAACGCATACACGCTTCGTGTGCTGCACCTATTGTGTAAGCAGTTGACCGGTCTCCGCTTGATAGTAGAAACGCAATCAAACTAACTACGTGTTCTCAGGTCATGCGCCAGAATTTCGAGATGAGCTACTGGTCCTGGAGCCGTCCTTACTCCCTTCTCTGTTGAAGAGGGCAAATTCATCAAAGTCCGAATTCGAACATGTGAGTACGATAATTGTAAGGTACATCACTTACTAACAATGATCTAGCTTGCCGAGCTATGCGTGCTTCTTTTTTCTCGCCCACTGCCCGAGGCAATACCATTACCCGCCGTAGCACAAAACTTCTTTCTTAATGTCTTCGAAAACGCCACACAGCAACCAAACTACGAGACCCTGAAGTCAGTGTACCGTATGCTCAACGGTGCATGTCGACGACTTTACAGCCTTCTTCCCAGAGATCTGAGGCAGCGGTTCGACACAGAGTTGTGCAATATACTCAGATCCCCGAAAGTCGCCGATTCCTCTTTGCTGTTTTTATGGGCAGAAGGTATAGTGCTCATCACGGAACATCCCGAGGGAGTCGACGGACTGCAAAATCTGCCTGCTGACGAGGAGCCGACATCCACCGAAAGGCTAAGACAACATTGGGCAACACCTTCAGGCCAAAAGCTGTTCGGCTCGACAAGCTACTTATACAAGACTATTGAGCTCACTTGTTTGAACGTAGTGTGGATTCTTCGAGGCGGAATCAAGGAAAATGAAGC